ATCGAATGCCCCGGACGATATAAACAAACATTACAATCATAAATAGCCATATATAAAAAAAATAGATTATTAATTTCGATTTGCACGAAAATATTATTTCTAAATATAATCCGATTCCAAACTAAATTAAAATACAATATGTCCTATAATTACCAAACAAATCAAATATATATATATATGAGCGACCGGCAAAACTAGGGGTCGTTTGGTGGTACGTTTAGAGCATGGTATCGTTTTGGGGATTGGTATCGTTTTATTTTTTTCAATTCATATGTAATTTTTTGGGAAGAGGTATCGTCTAAATGAATTTTGCTCTGGAAGGTGACCTTGCAAATGATGACTAGTAATCGTCGTGTATTAGTACTAGTAGTAGTAGTTGTTGTTGTCGTCGTGGTAATGGTAGTGGTAGTAGTAATAGTAGAAATAGGAATAGGAATAGTAGTAGCAGTAGTAATAGTAGTAGTAGTAATCGTCGTCGTCGTCGTAGTGGTAGTAGTAGTAGTAAAAGTAGAAGTAGTAGTAGTTATAATAATAATAATAATAATATTGACAGAAATAGAAATAATGGCAATAATAATGGTATCTAAGAGGATATAGACCTATGAAATGGGTATCGTTTTTTGGTATCGGTCTAAATCCCCAATTGTTTCCCATCGAAGAAACAACAGGAATAATTAGCAAAAATGAAATGGAATATGAAATTATTACAATAAATTATATGAAAAAAAAAAATAATAATAAAAATTAGATATATATTATTTCGAATATCAACAAACAAAAAAAAATCCAAAATATATATCGTCACTTAAGAGGAAAGAAATACGAAAGATAAAACAACGAGAAGAAAAAAAACGCGAGAAGCAAGGCACAAAAATGCAATATTCGACATAAAAATTTATCCCTTCGGAAGCGACCTTTCGTAAATCGTAAATATTTATTTATATGCATTCTATATATTCAAATATATGCTTTCAAAATATTCAATAAATTTCTTCAGAAAATAAATTTACCCCATGAATAAATCATCGGTAAGCATTAAATCGGAATATCATAAAATTTAAATTATCCTAAAATCATAAAACAAATTACGAAGACATTCCCCAAGAAAAAATTAACGTGCTTCATAAAATAAATTCCAAATATATTTCATCGAAGAACCCCTTTCATAAGTAAAATTTAAAATATATCCTTTCTTAATATTCAAGAAAATTTCAATTATCCTAAAATCATTAAAAATTCATAAAATATTTTTAAAAAAATCAAAATTTAAAAAGAAGAAAGATCTATATTTAAAAAATCGAAAAAGAAAATTTAAATTAAATAATTAATTATTAAATCCAGACATCCCAATATTTATTCCTATCTTTCGCAACAAAATTTAGTATTATTAATAGAATAAATATATATTTCTTTCCAAAAATCATTCAAATTATTCATTTTTAAATCAATATAAATCCCGACCTTTAATATTTTATTCATATCCTAATCCAAATCAAAAAATACATATATAAATACCAATCAATCTAAAATGCTAAAATATATTAAATATAAATATATAAAATAATATATATATTAAATAATATATATATCAATATTCAATATACATATATATATATATATTTAAATCCAATAATAATCCCATAATTTAAAAATATTTATTAATATCGAATTCAAGAAATACAACACATCAATATCAATAATTAAGATTTTCAACATAATCTTTTAAATTTCCAAAATATAAAACTAATCCCGAAAAAAATATATATAAATTCGCAAAAATATCTATTATTAAGTAACATAATATTCTATATATAATATAATTCAAAGATATATATATATGCTTGATAAAAGACATATATTTATATATTTAATAGTATTAAATGAAATATATTTTTCATCCTTTGAAATGATAATTATAACTATAATAGCTATATTGATTTATTTTTATTCCAATGATTTTGACATGTAAATGCTTTTACCCTCACCGTCCTGATGGCACGCATGTTCAATATGTGATCAAATTACTTATATACGTGTTTGAAGCAATGCAGGACACAAATTTCACTCAGCAATTGTGCCAAGACAAACCACCAAAGAAAGAAGGATTGATTACATATGGTTTGATCAGTGTCACAATATCTGATGAATTCTGATGACTTCGATTGACGTTGGTTGATGAATACAGACAAAAGCCCTCACAGATTGACCTGTGAATTTGGCACGGTACCAGCCCAAGAAAGACGTTCCGCCCCCAACAATCCGCGACCGCGAGGACCGCGCAACCTGCTCTTGTCTCCGCACCACGTAGCCACTGCTGTTGTACAGGCCGAAGGCTGCGGGGTCCAAATCAGTGTGCAAATAGAGCGTCTCTCCCCCCCAGCTCCTCCTGGACAACACATTCGACAACCTGCAGCTCTTTGATTGAGTTGTTAGTTTCCAACCACAGCAAGAAGGAACGTGGATGATTTCACTGGAAACCAGTGCATTTGTAGATTTCTAACCCTCTTGCAATGTGTCGAGCAACATCATCCTTCTTCAGAAATCATATGTTATGGTATACATGTTCGCGAAATCCCAACCTCCTCGAGCTCCCTGCCCAACCCGGAAGGGAAAAAGCACGTCGCCTGCAGAATTCCTCCACCAACTTCAAGAGCTTCCGGCCCAAGCCTCTTCCACGGACCTCCTCGGCTCAACGGCCCAAGGGTCAACCATGTAAGCCATACAACTCCTCTTCAAAGAGGCGCGCCGGTAACTACTACACTGCAAAGTCCGATGCTTTACCAAGGGAACAGTGAAGTTGTGAAGTTGCTTGGCAAATCATCACACATGTCCACAACCTGCCTTTTCAGGATGCAGAAATTATGTTATCTAATTATGTATATGTATAATTATGTATGTATATATATATATATATGCTGGTCTGGTTCTTGAAAACAAATCAAATCAATAGACAGCTGAAACTGAAACAGCTGATCCGATACACACCGCAATGACTGGGTCAACACAACCATATATGGCTATCTCTGATCCTTGTCTGGGCATGGCTATCGGTCTCTGTCCGGTCTCTAGCTATCCGTGGCTATGACCCTGGCGATCGTTTCACGCACGCCAAAGAACCGCCCCACCGCCCGCGGTCACCACCTTGGAGACACATAAGTTCTTCAGGTATGGCTGCGGAGCTCCGCGCCTCGAATGGCACCGCTTTTGTGGGGGGAGACCGGGTACTACGTCGCACGCCGTGGGGCTGGCAAGGTACGTCAAACCCTGTCGGATGGGTGGAGACGGTCAACGGAGTCGATTTTTCCTCATTCTTTGCGCTTCTTCATGGTTTCTTCCGTTTCTCTGCAACACGGTGCTTTTGTGAAAGGCACTCACATTCAAGCTGACTCACTTGGACTCAATTAGATTCCAAAGTTCCAAACCTGCAAACACTCTGCTCATCATTCTCGAGAGAATTGTCGACTTTAAATTCGGCGCGGTGATGCTACAGCCATGCTTGGGAGAAATAGCACGTAACTAAAAAATGGGGTTCCATAACTACTGCTAAACTTTAGAAGGGGGTCCCATAAATCTTATAACTTGTAAGAATATTCATTGAGTTTGCTATAGTAACATCATATTACTATAATGTGTACTAATATCTATATACCGTATTGATATGCGTTCGGGGCTTCGGGCCGTCTCCCTTCCATTTGGTTTGGGGTTCCACAAAAGAAGCACTGGAATACCTGGTCCTCCCGACATGAAGACCGGAAAGACGCAGGTCCGAAGGGTCGAAGACTCAAAAGAGCAACACCTTGGGGTAAAGAACCGTTGTCTAGTAAAAGGAGTCTTTATGGGAAGCAGTCTGCCTGTTATTGTGACTATTTTGCACCCACCATGCGCGCGAAGCGCCGTGCCTAAGGCCTTCAGGGGTTTGAAGGCAAATCTCAAAGTATCCTTGGACGCACGGGTGTCAAAGACGTGTGTCATTTTGGTAGCCTAGGGCCTAGAGAGTCATGGAGTCATGGAGCCAACCAACATGGTTGGTTTCTTATTTCCATTTTTTGGGATGTCTGAGGGTCTTCCAAATCGGGAACAACAGGATCCCACATCAAGATACCAGAAAATAATGCTCGAGCAAATCCAGGTGTCCCATGAAGCCCTCGCTGGACTTGAGGATCACCTGGGTGCGTGGCGTGTTTGACACAATCCAACAAGCTGGAATGGGACATTATCACTCGTTGACTCCCCTTGTGTAAACCGTGTAAACTCGCCAAGTTGGCATGTCCTCATTCCAAGGATGAACAAAACACTCCGCAAAACGCATCTAAATTACCAAATAAAATCAAACGGTGTTTTTCATACAACATGTTTGATCATACAACCGATATGTCATCATCTCCAAAACTCGTGAAATAAGAACTCGACGGATGGATAGACAGCCCGGGAACCCACAGGTCACCCGTGGGTTCCCCGGCCACAAACGAAAAGGCCAAACACATTGGGCCGAACCCTAGTTGACCACGGAAACATGAACAGAATGGACTACTAGCTTTCTGGGTTCAAGTACCCTTGAGCTTACGCCTCACGGGGGGCCGGGGCCTGTTCGACGGCCTCGCGGCTGTGGGCAGGCGTCTACAGAGTGGACTTCTCCTGTCCACACCTTTTCCACTTAGGTAGATAGGTTCTTTGCACTCCTTTGGATAGAGCCATGGACTTAGATCTGCTTTTGTGTGATTTGGAGGATCCCTGGAGGTCAAGGGCCAGGGCTCTCCTTCATGGTGTGGGCGATGGCCCAGCTCTCTGCTGGGAGCACTACACGATCCTGGCTGGAACGTTTTGGTCCCAGGTGAACGACATCTTTGAAGTCTCCCTCATGCAATTTGTTGCTGGCCAAGGTTTTACTGGAGAGAAGATGACGGAAGCCAAGATCTGCATCCACGATGCTCACAAGCGGTCCCTGAATTTGATTGCTGGCGATCTCTTTGTCTGTGCAGGCCTTTTCACGACCCAGGATATTGGCCTCTGGACAGGTGATCACCGTGCTATCCTCCTGAAGAAGACCATGCCTGTGATTGATGAAGCGATTGAATGTCTGCACATCTTTTCAGGTGCCTTTTCTGGATGGGGCCAAGCTCTCAGCTCGCTGCCACGGTTTTGCTCCACTCTTCGATTGGGTACGCAAATGTTTGTTGATGTGGATGTTGAAGTCACCGCTGCACTTGCTCGCAAGCATGGATGCAATGTCACGCCTGCACCAGTTCAGGCCAGTGCTGTATTTGAAGTGTCCCTTCACAAAGTTGTGAGGGCGGCAGTGGCTGACCCTTGCCTGCTGCATGTGGTGCAGCCGTTGGCCAATTTCATTTTTACAGCATCGCCTCCTTGCATTTCATGGAGCCGGGGAGGCCTTGGAAGAGGTCTAAACTGTTTTGAAGGGTGGACCTTCGTTGACTGTTTAAAACAGTGTGCTTTTGCCCAACCCACGATGTTGAACTTGGAGTGTGTGGACGAACTCGCTCGCCATGCCCATTTTCCAATCATTCGTCATCTATTGCATGTCATTGGCTATCGTCCTTTGTGGGAGGGCACTCTCCCATACTGTACCTTTGCACATATGCAACGCACTCGTTGGCTCGCCGTGTATGTCAGGGCTGACCTTTTTTCGCATGTTGAAAGCCAGTCCGACCAGTTTCGTGCATTTAGGTTCGAGCAATGGACTTCTGATGCATTTCGATTCCAATTGCCTCGCAGTCTCCGTGAGAAGATCACCATTCCGCAGTCTATCCAAGTGCTGTATGGACTTCATTCGCTCTTGCCTCCGTCAAAGCGCATGAAAATTGCACCAGATATGCCTACAGAGGCTATCATTCGCTCGAGGTACTTGCAATCGCATGAACCGGTCCCCACTGTCTGTGCTTCATATGGTTTCCAACATGAGTTACCGAGGTCATGTCTTGAGCAGAAGGGCATCTTTGCTACACTTCGTGAAGGAGATTTTGGACCTGAGTTCTTGGATCCTGCATTGCTAGCGGGCCTTCTCGGTCTGCTTGAGACCTCGGTCTTCTCCTCCAAGCTTGATGTGCTCTACCGGCAGATTGGGAATGCAATTGCTACACCGCATGCGCTCTTTGTTCTCCTGCAAGGCTTCAAGTACCTCTTCCAGTGGCCTACTGATGTTGTTCAGATTGTCAATGAGGTGTGGACCATCAGGCTTATTGGGCCCAGGACGGTCATCATTGAGGAAGGCAACTTCTACATCTTTGCCAGCACTTCCACCATCATCGATGACATTTGTGTCCGCAGCGAGGTCACATCGCACCAAGAATGCCTCACTATCCACTGCATTCACCAGGGTGGGCGAGCTACAGAGTTCCCTGCCTCTCGCGATTGGTCTGTCAATGACCTTTTGGGTTGCTTCACATGGGATTTCAACATCACTGGGCACATTTATCTTGCTGCGACAGGTGAGACTCTTTCTCCTGGAGCACGACTCTGGCAAGTATTTGACCAGTATCCACAGTGGACAGTCTTCCTCCAAGGCTTCCCGGTTGCGACTATCCAGCTTGCTTCGAAGGCCCCTTTGGTGTGTCCCTCGACGCAACCGTGGCCAGGCCCAGACGGCCAGCATTCGAACGTGCTTCAACCTCTTGACCAGACACCAACTCAACTCCTCCTTGTCGAGGACCAAGTGCTCTTTGAGGATCGGCACTTCCATTTTGCCTTGGAGTATCTTGAAAACCATTGTCTGGATGCTCCTAGCCTTGGTACTGCAGACATGACCATTGCTTTTGGCTCACTTCCGTGCACTATCACCCTGCCTGGGCTCTCCCACGAGGCTGACCGACTTCGCTGCGTTCATGAATTCTGGGCTTTCGCTGATGGGGACTCCAACCAGTTGGCATTCAAACTCAATGACCATAGCCACTCAGCATCTGTTGGACCATGTGCGGTCATTTTCAACAAGTACTCTGATGACAAACTCATCTTTGTTATCTTTGAGAATGGTGGGTCGCTTTGTGGATTCTTTTTGGCTCCCAGCCTTGAGAATTGCTCTTTCGAGATTGACTCCAAGCTTTACATGATTGCTGCACTTAATGGACAAGAAGTCTCCAACTATCCAGTCCTCATTGATCACGGTGACTTGCTCCAGCTCCGGATTGCAACTGATGTATCATGTGGAGGGCATCATGGTGCCCGTACTGACACACTGCCAGCTGGAGCCAACCTTATTCAACGTGCTGAATTTGCGAGCAACACAGGTGGCTGGCTTGCCACTGATGAGATGGACTTTGCGCTGCGGCAGTTCTCCTGGCTTGCACCGGAGTTTGCGGTCATCCACCCAATTGTTCGCTGGAACCTTGAAACTGCGAATCTGGAAGAGAATGACTATCAGGAGATCATGATTGCAAACAACCGGCTCAATGTTTTGCCTATCCTTTCGGGCTCTCATTGGTTGGCTTTTGAAATTCAGCGAGATGGCGCCACCACGCATGTCACCTTTGTTGGCCTTCCTGGACCTTTGCTTCGCTCTGGGTTACAAGTTGTGGCAAGATTACTTGACATCTCTCCCGATCGCTTGCAATACAGCCATGTTCCTCTTGATGACTCTGCTCACTTCTGTGGCTGGGCTTTGCTTCACAGATGGGCTAATGCTGCAGGCATTTTTGAGCAGATCCCTCACAATGCCGAGCTCTATGGTTCCACATCAATTGCCATGCGTGCTTTGATTGATGATGTTGTTGAGGATGCTATTGAAGATTGGCACCAACATGGTATTGCACATGGTCTGTGGTACTCTGCTGCTAACATCCGAAGAGCTTTCTTCAGCTTTCTTGCCACCACCACTATTCGAGGCAATGCGGTCACATCTGATGCTCTACACGTTGTGTTTGATGATGCTGGTCACAGTCCTGATCACGCTGAGACACCGTTCATTCACATCGACAGCCCTGATAGCCATCTTCACCATCGTATTCAGCACTTCAACCACTACCCTGGATGGCTTGGGTCAGATGAGCTAGACTTCATTCTCCACACCATTCGCTTTGTGAGGCCGCAATGCTGCTTCATGCCACCTGGAAGCTGGGATTATGCCACTGGCCACATTGTATACTTCAATGATGTGCGCCGGGACTTCCGTGCCTACCAACAAGTGACATGGTTTGTCCTCATTGACCAGTGCTGGACGCAGATTGATGCCAACAGGAATGATACTTCCATTGCACTCTTTATGAGTTTGCCTGATGCACTCGCCCATCTTGCGGGGCCGTTGGCCACCTTCATCATGTCTCAGATCGATGAAGCTCAGCTGACTTGCCAAGTGCACATTATCAGATGCAACCCTGAGGCCAATATGTGTGGATGGGTCCTACTTCACTCCCTTTGTGAGAGACTTCGGATTGCCATTCCACCGCTCGCAAATGAGACGCAGCAGGCCATCAATCTCTCCAGGTTCAGAGTGCACATCCGAAGTACAATTGAGAGAGCAAGGCTTGTCTGGCAATTGTCTTCCTCGTTTCCAAGAATCTCCAACTTTGCTGCCCTGGTGCGGACGAACTTCCTTCACCATCTCCTTGCTGACAGAGGAGTGCCGCAGTATGCAGCTGGGGGTGGCACCGAGCACAAAGAACCCACCAGCAAGCCAGAGGCCGGTGCGACTAAGGTTGACCAATTGCAGATTGATGATCCTTGGGCCCCCAAGACTGGCAAGCAGAAGAACCCCAAAAAACTCTTCCAGACGAGATGGGAGGACCTTACGATGCCTGCGGACCACCCGCTTATTGACGAGAAGGGAATTCCAATCCCTCAAGTTCACCGTCTTCAGGCTGGTGCCAAAAAGGCTGGAGCTGTTCTTGCCACAAAGTCAGGCATTGCTGAGCTCAGCCGCATCACTCCGTGTGCTACTATGTTGGCTATTCTGCCTGGGAATGACAAGAACCAATACATTGATCTTGGTCTGAAAGTCATTGGTCCGTATGAGCTTGTCCTTGAAGATGCGCAAGCCAAGACTGCTTACAAAAGGCTCGTCATTCTTTGGCAGCTTCATGGTTCGGTCACCTACAAGCTTCCTGACCCGAAAGTGCAACTGACTGCCGCTGAAGTTGCTGAGCTCGTTATGGATGCAGATTCGCGCCTTCTGGGGCCACAGGACACTGAGCAGGCGAGTCAGCAGCATATCTCCTT